CCGTGGTTCCTGGTTTACTTTATGTTTAGCTTTCCCAGTTTAGTTTAGTACTGTTTTTGTGTTTCACCTTTTGCCAGCATTAAAGCTGTGTTTTTGAGTTTACGTTTTGTCTCCGTGAGTTTGCGTTTGGGTCCTCTCCTGCCTGCCACACAGCCGAATCATGACACTCTGTGCATTTTCCACTCATCCTTCCTTCAGTTATATGACATATGCCAGAGCTGTATGCTGAAAAACAGCACCACACAATGATGTTTCCACCTCCAATCTTCACTGTGTTGGAGGTGATTTGCAGTGGCTTTTGGCTTCCAAGCATGGTGTCCATTGTGCCATCTGAAGAATTACATTTTATGAAAATTTGTATCTCATCTGACAAGACTGTATATCTCCCAGTATGGTGATCTCTCAGGCATGTCTAAATGTTGTTCAGCAAACTTTAAATGCACTTCAACATGATTTTTCTTCAGCAGTGAATTTTTGCATACAGGCTATAGTTTGAAAAATTGAGTGCATTACTGATTGTTTTCTTTTCTTTCTGTAGCTCTCTACAGATGGTCCTTGGATTCTTTTCACTCTGTCTGAACTCTTTCAGGGACCACCTGGTTGTCACCGGTTATGGCGAAATGATTGTCTTTCCACTTCCAGATTATGACCCCAACTGTGCCAATGCTGTCAGTATGTTTCGCAACAATAAGGTTGCAAGCATTGTGAGAGAGCTCAGTGGTTTTACCATCATGAGATGTTTCTTGTTTCACACCTTGGTAAATTAGACACCTTTTTCTAGACCGTCAGTTGGGAATGAACCAGCTGGTATAAATGTGCACAAAGTGGCAGGATTACGTTCAAATTAAGATAAGATAAGATAACCTTTATTAGTCCCACACGTGGGAAATTTGTTTTGTCACAGCAGGAAGTGGACAGTGCAAAAGTTGTGAGCAAAATTAGAATACAATAAGAATAAATACAGTTCAGAATAAAATAAAATACTATATACAGTAGAATAAAATAGAATAAAATATACAATAAGATAAAAATAGAATACAAATGCTATATACAACTGAGTAAAAATATAACGATGCCAGAAAAGTATTGCACTTAGTGCTATTGCACATGTGTGGGTGTGTGTGTTTGATCAGTTAAAGTCTTTATTGTGGAGTCTGACAGCAGTGGTGAGGAAAGACCTGCGAAATCTCTCC